AAAATACTAATACTACTAATACTTTCCTTCTTAGACTTTACAGACCTGAAACTTGCCTATAGCACTTATTCATTGTTGCTCTTATAGTTGTGTAAATTGCTTCCTTGTCCTCATTTGTAAGTCGCTTTGGATAAAAGCGTCTGCTAAATGACTAAATGTAAATCTAAATATACCAAACTATTACTGCTCAAGAAAAGGAAGGGAATACTTAAACTAAATCTGATTCATTTACCATATTTAATTGAAACATTTCATTTTAGTTAGCTTTTAACAATAAAACAAACAAACAAACAAAAGGTTACAATAGATTTGTAGAAATCACAATCTCAGATGGGATGGTGGGCCAAATCAAAGGTTACTATTGGCCGACTTTGGCCTGTGGACCCTATTTTGGGCATCTCTGCACTAGCAGATCTCTGGTGAAAAATAGTTCAAGAATTTGATTCTGCATCTATTCTAAGATTTTCAGAACGCTAATCTCTCTTGAAGCACTTCTGAGTTTGGTATTCAACAGAGGATGGCATTGGATGTCTTGCAGACAACTGTACTTTGCTTGTATTCAATTCCTTACAAATACCACGTAAACCTAAATTAATCATTAATAACGTTAGGGATGGTTTCAGCGAGTTTTTAAAAAGTGTTCAAAGTGAGCTGTGTGTGATTATTTATATATATATATATATATATATATATATATATATATATATATATATATATATATATATATATATATATATATATATGTATATATATTAGGGATGTAACGGTATTGTAAATACCGTCATACCGCAATATTAATTTTTTTCGATATTATCGAAGTCGCATGACTCGGTAAAACTATAGGTCTTCTGAGAAAATTTGCTCAGGCGAATGAAGCGAACGGGACGTAGCTGAAACTACATTTCCCATCAGCCCAGGCGTGGCCATAATCCTTTGCGGTCTGTTGTCGCTACAGATCCAGTAATGCAGAAATGGAGTGTGCTGCTAGTAGCGGAGATGAAAAAAAGATGGAAATGATCGAACCTAAAGCGGGTGTTGTCGCTGCGCGCGTGCTGAATAGCGGTGCTGTCGCGCGCGTTCTGATCAGCTGTGTTGTGGCGCACGTATTGTAAAGCGCCGAGGGGGGGTTGAGCACGCATATTCAAGAGAGGTGTTGTCGCGCGCCTACTGAAGGGCTGGATTGGACGGAGGTTGTGTCGCGTCGCGGGGGCACTTTTGATCGTTTTGGAAGGGCATTTTCTATCCAAGACTAAAAAGGGCATGCGCACTGCACAGGTTGAGCCCTATGTGTGCACGTGCCTGCAAGTTGGGGAATACGACTAATAACAGTCATGGGGACTGCAGAAACACAGCACACTGTTCAGATTGATGCAGACATTGACTTGTACCGCAAAGAGATCTCTATCTCACTCATGGTTTGTCTTCTCAAGTGGGGGAAAGACAATGCACAACGTTACCCCACTGCTGTCAACATGGGCCAAGTCATATCTCTCTTGTCCCAGAAACCTCAGTCCCAAATGAGAGGGTTTTTTTCTGTTGCAGGGGACATTGTAAATACCCAGAGATACCAGCTTTTACCAGATTGTAATTATATGATAATTTTCCTTTAAACCCATCTCTATCTAAGTGAGTGAGTGATTAAATGTTGAATGTGATGAGTTTTCAACAATACTAAATTGAAACTTTATTTTTTTTACATGGTTTAATAATTTTTTTGTTATCAAAATTGAAGTTAGTGTTTCAAAGCTTACAGATTGATGGCTAATTTGTATGTCATTGACACTTTTGGCACTTTTTTGGAGTATTTTCAAAAGTTTTTTTTTTCCTGTAAATGATTCAATAAATACCGTACCGTGACATTCATACCGAGGTATAACCGAACCGTGAAATTCTGATACCGTTACATCCCTAATATATATATATATATATATATATATATATATATATATATATATATATATATATATATATATATATATATTAAGGGTGTCACGATTTCGATTTTAATCGAAAATCGATCGAAATTTATGCTCGATTTCGATTATCGAATCAAAAAATAGAATCGTCGATGCTGCCACGCCCCCATGTCACGTCAGCTTGGCTTCCCAAGCGGGAAAAAACACGCTTGTTGAAGTGCTTGTTAAACTGTGCAGACAGGAGATCCGTCGACAGAGCTTAAACCTTCAGGACTCGACAATAAGGACTGCCCGATAGCCCGGAGCCAGCGTGCGAGACGCTCAGGCCAGAGTACAGTGCTGCCTCACACATAGACGTTTGTTTCGGAATCTGTCTCGTTTCCCCCGTTAGTTTGTTTGGCATATATCCAGCAGTTGCTCGCATCCGCGCCAAATCAGTCCGAGATCCCCTGAATGAGACGGTCTCTGCCCTACTAAGCGAATCGATTGTAGTGAAAAAACAAAATAATGCAACAAACTAATGACCCAGGCTATATCACAGTGTATTATGATTATGTAATAGCCATATATACGGCTATATAAAGAGAGAATGATGAGCAGGGCGAGATGTCATTCTTACCGGTAAATGCGAAAGTGAAAGCATGCTGAAATATTACCGAGAGCTGTTTATCCAGCCTGATCTCGGTTTATCCATCAGGGAAATTGACCGAAATTACTATCTGTTAATTTTTCCATATTTTAATCGTATAATATGTTGTATTAGGCCTGTCCAAGGCTGCAATTATTTCATCATAAATACAAATTATGAAATGTTGCACTATAAAATAACTGTTCAAAAGTAGTTTATTATTTAATTTATTCATTTATTCCAGTGATTTTAAAGATGAAATTTCAGCTTCATTACTCCAGTCACATGATCCTTCAGAAATCACTAATATTAATTATTATTATATTTATTAATGGTAATAGTAATAAAAGCAATAATGTCTGGAGTAATAATTTTATTTGAAACTACATACAATAACAAAGTAATTATTTAAAATTTTGATAAATATTTAACAATTTAACAATTTTTACATTTAATAAATATAGCCTTGATGAACTGAATAAGTTTTCTTAAAAACATTTAAAAAATTACTGTAAATATATATACAGTGGAAGTCAGAATTATTAGCCCCCTTTGTTGTTTTTTTCTTTTTAAAATATTTCCTAAATTATGTTTAACAGAGCAAGGAAATGTTGATAGTATGTCTGATAAGATTTTTTCCTCTGAACAAAGTCTTATTTGTTTTATTTTGGCTAGAATAAAAGCAGTTCTAAATTTTTTATAAACTATTTTAAGGTCAAATTTATTAGCCCCTTAGGCTAATTGTTTTTCAGACTGTCTCCAGAACAAACCATCGTTATACAATAACTTGCCTAATTACCCTAGCCTGCCTGGTTAACCTAATTAAACTAGTTAAGACTGCTTCAATGTTTTACTTTCACACTAGTACTTAGTCATTTTAGCAAACACCTCAGATATTGTTGGCTGGTTCCTGTTGGTTGTGCACCTTTTTTTACCGACGCCATAATAACGACACAGATCACTGCCTATTCACAAGAAAAAAGTGATTGACAGGTGGTAATTATGTGTGTAACTTGCCTTTATTCATTTACTGTATGATTTGTTTATGGGTAAAACAAAGACCATACAGGTCAGGTAGTTTAAACTGTAGGCTACAAATAATTAATTTGTTATTAATTAATTAATTATTCATAATTGAAAATCGAATCGAATCGTGATTTAAGAATCGAAAATGTAATCGAATCGAGAATTTGGAGAATCGTGACACCCCTAATATATATATATATATATATATATATATATATATATATACTGTATATATATATATATATATATATATATAAAGTCAACTTACAAGACTCGTAGAAATAAACAAGTGCTTTTCCTTGTAAGCATTTGAGTGCACGGTTAAAAAGAGCGCCATCTGTTATTAAAATCTAAGCTCAGTATATGTAAACACAGGCATCTTTCAGATGAGACATTAAACCAAGGTCCCGACTCTATGTGGTCATTAAAAGTCCCCTGGATGTCCTTTCTAAAAAGAGAAGAAGTTTAACCCCGTCATCCTGGCCAAATTTGCCTCCTAACCATCCACATATCATAATTGGCTTCATCACTCTGTCTCCTCTCCACCAATCAGCTGTTGTGTGGTGTGCGGTCTGGCGCAATATGGCTACCCTTGCGTCATCCAGGTGGATGCTGCACACTGGTGGTGGATGAAGAGATCACCCCCAATGTGTAAAACACTTCGAGTGTTTAGGAAAAGTGCTATATAAATGTAAGGAATTATTCTTATTAAACCAAACGATAGAGGTTTCCCAAAGTTGTAGTGAAAAAAGACTTTACGTTGCCTTCCTTCTGATCTCAACAGTACGAAAGAGTGGATGAACATCTTTAAGATCTTGATCCATTGTTCAATTAATTTTACCATGGATTCATTTACAAACAAGGCACAATTCGATGCGGAATTCGGTGCTTAATAATCTTCCAGTACTGGAAACTGAAATAAATGAGTACCAAAACTGTACCTTACCCAACTGTACCACTCAGTTGAAAATGAGCCATTAGCAATAGAAGCAAAGCATTGAACATTTTATAAAATGCAAAAGCGTCTTGTGGGTGTTTAATTCTGAATCTACACTCAACCAAGCCTATTTGAATGATGTGTTCAGATGAGGAAGATCAAATCTGGTTTGGAAAAATTGCAGCTTGTGGCCCCTTCAAATTGCATACAGATTCTTTGGTTGTTGTTGTTGCCAAAGTTAGAGAGACCCGCGATTCTGGAAACAAGCAGCAGCTCATTTGCATTTAAAGAAACACAAAAAAATTTTATTTTTGCATTTAACACCTTTTATAAATAATTATCAGTAAAGTATTTAGTGCTGAACATTCACAGATACCTTCTGTTGACACATGAGGCGTTTAACACATCTCATAAAAGTACAATAGTACCCCTTTAATGCACTCCATCTTGAATAACAATTTAATATTAAAAATCTCATGAACTTCTGTCCTACCTGTCCTCCTGATGGACGTCGGTGTAGATGATGCAGTGTCCCGAGGGCATGGCTGCAGCCTGCAGTAATTTCTGTGTTTCTTTTTTTCCGGAGAATCCCTCCAGCAGGCGAAGCTCATCAAAGTTTCCAGACACAGAGTCTGACTTTCGGCGGCCTACCCTGCTGGAGTGACCCTGGCCTCCGGTTTGAGACATCTCCACCTCAATATTACTCTTATTCTCCAGGTACATCTTCACTCAGGCTCACTGGACCGCAGCTGGAGGAGAAGGGGAAGGCTGAGGTCAAATGATATTTTAATGGAGCGTATTTATGCAACTAGCATCAGATGAGTTGAGACTGATCTTTTGAGCCCTAAATTTCCAGACTTAAATGTAAAAGTTACACATACAGAATAATGATGTGTAAAAAATAATTAGAGTTGTGCACTACCTATAGTTATATTCAATAAGAATGCAACTCCTTCCTCTAGTGCTGCACATGCACATGGTCACATTATTAATAAGAAAGTATAATGAGAAATGTTGAAGTGGTCGCTATTGGGCTGCTAAGGCAAGCCAAGTGTTAGTGAGAGTCTTCTAAGCACATTTCCTTAGTATTTACATGTGGTTTACAAGCATCTATTAAAAGGTTTTGACATGAGCTGAAACAAAGATCTACCTACCTGTCTACAGTTATCTATCTACAGTATCTACAGTTATCTATCTATCCATCCATCCATCCATCCATCCATCCATCCATCCATCCATCCATCTATCTATCTATCTATCTATCTATCTATCTATCTATCTATCTATCTATCTATCTATCTATCTATCTATCTATCTATCTATCTATCTATCTATCTATCTATCTATCTATCTATCTGTCTATCCATATGTCTATCCATCCATCCAATCTATCTATCTATCTATCTATCTATCTATCTATCTATCTATCTATCTATCTATCTATCTATCTATCTATCTATCTATCTATCTATCTATCTATCTATCTATCTGTCTGTCTGTCTGTCTGTCTGTCTGTCTGTCTGTCTATCTATCTATCTATCTATCTATCTATCTATCCATTCATATAGACAAGGCAAGTTTATTTATATAGCACATTTCATACACAGTAGCAATTCAAAGTGCTTTACATAAATAAGAATGAAAAAGACAAGTTTAAAAAATAAAAAAATGGATGATAAAAATTAAGAAAACAGATAAAAGAATGAAAAAAAGAAAGACATAATAGTGCGATCTTTCAGACGCAGCACAGTGCTCATTCAGTAAAGGCACAGCTAAACAGATGTGTTTTCAGTCTTGATTTGATTGTGTCTAATGTTGGAGCACATCTGGTCATTTCTGGAAGCTAAAAGCCAATTCCCCCTGCTTTGACTGAACTCTTGGAATTTCTAGTTTATATAATCCTGAAGATCTGAGTGATCTAATAGGCGTATATTCAGAGAGCATATCTGTAATGTATTAAGGTCCAAGGCCATTTAGTGATTCATAGACATGTAGTAATAATTAAAAATCTATTCTGAATGTAACTGGGAGCCTGTGTAAAAAACCTAAGGACAGGTGTGATGTGCTCTGATTTTCTGGTTCTGGTCTGAATCCTGCCTGCAGCTTTATGGATGTCTGACTGTCTTTTTGGGAAGGCCTGTGAGGAGGCCCTTAAAGTAATCCACCCTGCTGCTATTAAAAGCATAAATAAGTTTCTCTAAGTCTTCACTGGAAACAAAGCATCTAATTCTTGCAGTGTTTTTGAGATGGTAGTAGATTTAGGATTTACTTACTGCTTCGACATGACAATTAAAACTCATATCTGACTCCAGAGTCACACCAAGATTCTTGACCTTATTTTTTGTTGTTAGGGTTATTCACCTCATCTCTATTCCCAAATGCAATGACTTCAATTTTCTTTTTGTTTAACTGAAGAACGTTCTGGCACATCCAACTGTTAATTTCTTCAATGCATTGGCATGCAGAGGGTGTCAACGGGGCTGTAGTCATTACATAAACTACAACTAATCTAAATATTTTTAATAAAACAAAAGCAGATCAAATTAATACAGCATATGAAAATAAAAAAAAAGGAAGGAAAGGAAAACAGATCATAAAACAAAAAGCACCAACATAGTGCATTTTATAATACTACTACTACTACTACTACTACTACTACTAATAATAATAATAATAATAATAATAATAAACTAAAAACTAGTATTAAAAACTTCTTAATCTTATAATTTCAATTCTAACCAATCAACATTAAACATATACAAAGATTTTGAGAAATTTAGGCCGTTTTTAATATTAATATAACAAAATGTTTACTCAAATAAAATGTTTAATTAAAACTCACATTATTTAAAAGTGCTTAATATTATGGTATTTACTTTCACAAGTTTAAATTACAATTATTAAAAAATCAGCTTGCCAACTCCATAAATTCCATTATTCCATATCATTCTCCTATATTCAGTACTGAAATCCCTCAAACTAAACATGAGTAATAGTGATGACTTTTGCAAGCACTACTCATTTTAAAGATTTTGCTGGTTTTGTTAAACAGCTCCCCCTAGTGGAATTCTTAAGAAAAAACAACCCCATCTAAAAACAATTTCTCTTTAAGCAGAGTATATATATATATATATATATATATATATATATATACACACACACACACACACACACACACACATACATACATACATGTATATATGTATATATATATTTTTTTTTTTTTCATTTTTCCACAAAACATCACTACTCAGGTCTATGAAATTATTAGTGCTGTTCACTATTTCTGTCTATGACCAATTGCTTTGATTTATATGTACAGAAGAGAAGATCATTATGTCCTTGAGACAACCACATACAGTTTATAGCCCTCTGCAACCAACAATAAACAAACCAAGGATCACCAAAAGAGCAGCACGACCAATCGATGAGCAACCAAAACCATAATGTTTAAGAAATGATTAGTTCAGGGCCTGATAAAAGCATCCAGGATAATTGAACAAGGATTAGAGGTCACCGTTTTCTCAAAGAGCCGTTTAGACACATCGTGTACAGTACAGTCTTTGTGTGTTGAGAGCTCAAGGTTGGCCTGAATAGATATATGGGCTTTTCAGTAACCTGTGACCAATGACTGGTGACCTGATGCTTGTTTGATTTCCGTTCCTCATATGAGTTTATTTGTCAGTGGTCAATATAAGTGCTCACTGTATAGTGTTAATACAGCAAGGGTGAGGTTAAAGACCAGCTGTGTGATATGGACAGTGGGCTGTAGGGGAGAATGGGCAGATTTGCAACATGGGGCGGTTGCAACAAGACTTATTCCTCCATTCAGGAATGAGCTCGAGTGATGATATTCATACTAAATATTGTCAGTTAGACCCTCCTTCAGTTTAAAAGAAATCAGCCATATGTGACATTCCCTCAGTATAAAACTTATGTCTAACTAAAAAAATCCGAAACATTATTCATTCGTACAATTAAATCATTGTTTTCTTAGCTTTATTAGCTGTCAAACGTTAAAGAAACTGTGATTGACAGAGTTGGGACAGTTGAGACATGCATTACAACTGTCCCTAATTACAAAATTAATTTAAAAGCTTGCCATATTAACAACGTTCAGTTTTATTTTTATTAGTTTTAATGTAATTTTTTATTAGAAAAAAATTAATCTTTTGATTATATAATTCATTTCACAGTTAAAAGTAGTAGTTTAGTAAAGGTTCAGTCTAGAATTTCAATTCATATTATTTTTGTTCAGTTTCTTTTTGAGTGTATGGGTGTTTCCCAGTGATGTGTTGCAGCTGGAAGGGCATCCACTGCGTGAAACATATGCTGCACAAGTTGGTGGTTCATTCTGCTGTGGCGACCCCTGATTAACAAAGGGACTAAGTCGAAAAGAAAATGAATGAATGCATGAATGTTTTAGGCGTGATTAGCTGTTGCTTGTTCTTTCAATAGTCTGTATTTATATGCCCAGTTTAACACATTAAACAATTTAACTAATGTACTTTTAGTCTGTTTACCAAAAAAATAAAAATAAAATTCAACATTTTGTTTTAGGATTTGTTTTATTTTTACATTTTAAAGAATGTTGAAACTGTCCCCCTGCTAGGGGTCAGCTGCATCGTTTAACTTTGTTCAAGTTTAAATTCTGCATATATTATCATATGTACACAATATAGCAATATGGGTGGGTGTCCAATAGATGTGGGTTTCTTATATTATTGTTTTGGATTTCCACAAAAAACTGTCTCTGAGAAACTGAAGGAAATGAAGTTTTGCAACTGTCCCCGCTCTCCCCTACTGTACAAGTCTCAGGGTGGGCTGGCCAATGACGCGAGGATTTAAAAGCAGACTTGAGCGGAGAGGTGGAGTGATTTTGTCAATATCTGAGAGAGAAATCTAAATATTCAAGTTGATATACTGTACATTATTCATTGACTAAAGTGATAATTCACCCTAAAATATGTTTACTCTTCCTGATGTAGTGTTATAAGAGTTTCTTGCTTCAGCGGATCATAAAAATAATATTCTGAGAATTTCTAATTGTTGGGACTTACACGGTATAAAAAAAATGAATAAAATCAATATACATAGATGGTAGGTGCCATGCTTCCAGCGTTTTTAAGAGCTCTTATTTTGTGTTCAACAAAAAAAGAAACTCAAATAGGTTTTGAACAAATGAAGAGTAAATTATTACAAAGATTTGGGGTGAATCACTTTAAGAGATTTTTTCTTTTCTTTTACACTATGCTTGTTTTCAAAGACAAAACAAATTAAATTTTTCACATATGTGCAGTATATAAACAATAAAATTTATAAGTAGCAAAATATTAAATTACAGATTTTTGCTTGGAGGAATGTAATAGTTGAAGTCAGAGTAATGTTTGTTTTATTTTTCCCTAATTTCTGTTTAATGGAGAAAATATTTTTCAACACATTTCTGAACATAATAGTTTTAGTAACTCATCCTTAATAACTGATTTATTTTATCTTTGCTATGATGACAGTACATAATAATATTTGACTAGATATTTTTCAAGACACTTCTATAGAGCTTAAAGTGACATTTAAAGGCTTAACTAGGTTAATTAGGTTAACTAGGCAGGATAGGGTTATCATTGTATAATTAGGCAAGTCATTGTATAACAATGGTTTGTTCTGTAGACTATTGAAAAAATATATAGCTTAAAGGGGGGCTAATAATTTTGACCTTAAAATGATTTTTAAAATGAAAAACTGCTTTTATTCTAGCTGGAAGAAAACAAATAAGACCTTCTCCAGTAAAAAAAAAAATATATTATCAGACATACTGTAAAAAATGACTTGCTCTGTTAAACATCAATTGGGAAATATTTAAAAAAAGAAAAAAATAATAATAATAGTAATTCTGTTGTAATAATTCTGTCTTCAACTGTATATGCCATTTAAAATAAATAGCAAACAATGAACTGATATAAATTAATAATGTATTAATATTACAATCACATATTTTGGATCCATTTCAGATGTTCACAAAAAAAAGTCTGCACAAAAGCTTGCAGATTGTCCTCTAAATCCGAGCAATATTAATTTGTAATGCTTCAAGAATTTTAAGACTCAAGACTTAAAAGACTTTAAGCTCTCACAGTCTCCAGACATTACTCTCTATTGCTCTTTGCCCCTTCATTACTTTCTCTCCTTTTTGTTTTGGTGAAGAAGAAAAAAACATTACACCCACACAAACAAACAGAAAAAGCAGAATCTGAAATTATACCCAAGTTCACATTTAACCCAAATCAACCAGTTGAAACATATGCAGATTAGAACTGAAATCAAAAAATTATTTTTTTGATTCATTTTAAATAATAAAGTATGTTTTTCTTATGTAAAAAAATGCATAATTTCAATTAAACTTAATTTCTTACCTGCCAAATAAGTGAATGAAATGATGAAGTGGCCAACAAGAGGATGGATGAAGATGAAGATGATAATGATATTATAACATTTAACAAAAAAAAAAAAATAAGCCAAATAAAGAGAAGTCCAATGAGTCTGCACCGGTCTGTCCGGTTCAGGAGGAGGAAGAGGAGGAGGAGAGGGAGGAGGAGGAGGAAGATGCTCAGTCTGAAATGGAGGTTGAGCTCCTTCAAGAAGATGAAGGAGTGAAACCACAGCAAACTCTGCACACTGAACAAACCACCCTCCCTCCTCCCTCTTGCCCATTTCAGACACCTTGTGGAAGTGAACATTCACTGTTAAACACATGCCAGACTTTCCTCCAAATGCCTGAGGACACACACCCCTCCAAACCAAAACAACACACACAATGAACAATGGTCGTTTTAAACTTCAACACACACACACACACAAACTCAAATATTACTCACTAGAAACGTACTATGTATGACGTAGAATCTTCTACTTACCAGAGCTGAAGGAATCTCATGCCCTACTTTACATCTGTCTTACTGACCAAAACCTGCTTCTGCAAGGATTAATCCAGTCCATTTACATTCTAAACAATAGCAAAACAGACAAAACTACAAAACATAAACACTTTAACACATTTATATTTATAGTCATATAAGAAACTAAGCAATACCATGAGTTGCAAATAAAGGACGTTGTTGAAATAAACTCAAATAGAAAATATATCAATCACATTGAATGAGCAATAATATTTTCAAAAATAATTAATTTTAAATTTTAATTAAACTTGACATCATCAATACTAACAACTAAGGTTATGACTTTCACTCTAAAGCACACAATTTATATTTAAAATAATGACTCATAACTTTAACTTTGCAATTCATAATTTTGACTTTTTTCTTATAATAATGATTATACTGTTTATCCATTAAAGAAGGAAGGAACGGAGGAAAGAAAGAAAGAAAGAAAGAAACACACAGACTGACTGAAAGAAAGAATAAAGGAAAGAAAGAAAGAAAGAAAGAAAGAAAGAAAGAAAGAAAGAAAGAAAGAAAAACAGAGACTGACAGAAAGAAAGAATAGAGGAAGGAAAGAAAGAAGGAAGGAAGAAAGAAAGAAAGAAAGAAAGAAAGGGAAACAGAGACTGACAGAAAGAAAGAATAGAGGAAGGAAAGAAAGAAAGAAAGAAAGAAAGAAAGAAAGAAAGAAAGAAAGAAAGAAAGAAAGAAAGAAAGAAAGAAAGAAAGAAAGAAAGAAAAAAACACACAGACAGACTGACAGAAAGAAAGAATAAAGTAAGGAAAGAAGAAAGGAAGAAAGAAAGAAAGAAAGAAAGAAAAAAAGAAAGAAAGAAAGAAAGAAAGAAAAACAGAGACTGACAGAAAGAAAGAAAGAAAGAAAGAAAGACACAGACTGACTGAAAGAAAGAATAAAGGAAAGAAAGAAAGAAAGAAAGAAAGAAAGAAAGAAAGAAAAACAGAGACTGACAGAAAGAAAGAATAGAGGAAGGAAAGAAAGAAGAAAGAAAGAAAGAAAGAAAGAAAGAAAGAAAGAAAGAAAGAAAGAAAGAAAGAAAGAAAGAAAGGGAAACAGAGACTGACAGAAAGAAAGAAGAGGAAGGAAAGAAAGAAGGGAGAAAGAAAGAAAGAAAGAAAGAAAGAAAGAAAGAAAGAATAACAGAGACTGACAGAAAGAAAGAAAGAAAGAAAGAAAGAAAGAAAGAAAGAAAAACAGAGACTGACAGAAAGAAAGAATAAAGGAAAGAAAGAAAGAAAGAAAGAAAGAAAGAAAAACAGAGACTGACAGAAAGAAAGAATAAAGGAAAGAAAGAAAGAAAGAAAGAAAGAAAGAAAGAAAGAAAGAAAGAAAGAAAGAAAGAAAGAAAGAAAGAAAGAAAAAAGAAAGGAAGGAAGGACAAACGAAAGAAAGAAAGAAAGAAAGAAAGAAAGAAAGAAAGAAAGAAAGAAAGAAAGAAAGAAAGAAAGAATAAAGAAAGGAAGGAAGGACAAACGAAAGAAAGAAAGAAAGAAAGAAAGAAAGAAAGAAAGAAAGAAAGAGAAAGAAAGAAGAACTTTTGAGCAGTATTATTTTCCTCTATATACTCTCCAATAGTTGATTCTAAAAAGCTGAGAACACTGTGAATTTGGTAGTTAAAATCTAAAAATCTAAAATGTAAATAAGCAAACGTCACTTCACAGAACACATTTTTCATTTATAAGCTTCTCTTCATTCTACTTTCACAAGCATTAACAGGACATTTGTAAGAAAAAAGAAAAAAAGAAAAACACTCAACAGGTGCAGCACTAATGAGCAGATCTATAGCAGGGTCATGGAGATGATGTGGACAAATCAAGCATAAAATTCATCATCAGAGGTCATATGACATCATTCCTGTTTAATTTCCAAGGAATTGACAGAACAGGAAAGACCTTAATTGTTTAGAAGTTGGTCCTGGGTGGGCATCACTTAACACGCTTTAGGCAGAGAGTATTCTTTGCTAATTGTTTATTGTGCATCACATTTCAGGTTGAAATGAATGTAAAAAATGTTCTGAAGCTAAGCAGAGGGGGCTGAGTGATCACACGGGTCTGAGAGGGTGCGCTGATCGCTGTGGGGGAAGAGTGAGACAGACTTACATGTGACTTTTAGTAGATCCAGGATTTTGGCTCAGTGCATTCAGTCTGCAGCTTTCACTTATCTACTCATCTGAGAGTAAAGGCTCATAAAACTAGCTAGATACTATATTTGCACATCATAAAACTTTTTATAAGGTTATCAAGCACACATTCATATTGAATGAAGTATACACTACCTGACTAAAGTCTTGTTGCTTATCCAAGTTTTAGGAACAACAAATAGTAACTTGACTTCTAGTTGATCATTTGGCATCAAAAGTGGCTTATATGAAAGTCATATATATATATATATATATATATATATATATATATATATATATATATATATATATATATATATATATATATATACAGTGGATATATATATAATCCAATTTTTTTGGATTGTCCTAAAATGTAAGACCTCATAAAAATTTAAAGGAAAAAGGAAACTAAGAAAAGCAAAACAAACAATTATTAAATAATATTAAAAATATTTATTATTATTTTATTACAACTAATTTAAGTGAAAAACTAAAGCAAAAAAGCAAAGCAAAAAAAAAACTATTTTAAATAAAAGCAAAAATTAATAAAAAAAAAAACAAGCAAACAATTGAAAACCAAATCAAAACATTAAATACATGAAAACAGTACATTAATAAAGTCAAAGCAAAATGAAACGAAATGAAGCTAACACACAATAAATCAATCAATGAATAAATAAACATATGAACAAATAAAAAGTTCAGGAAAAATTAAATAAAAGATCAAATCAAATAAGTTGAAACAAAATCGAGATTTTAAAATTACATTTTAAATTAAAGCGTAAAATAAAAACTATAAAAAAAAAGTAAACTATGAAACAACAAGGCATCTCGGTGGCGCAATGGGTAGCATGAACGCCTCACAGCAAGAAGGTTGCTGGTTCGAGTCCTGACTTTAGTATGCATGTTCTCCCCGTGTTGTTGTGGGTTTCCTCTGGGTGCTCTGGTTTCCCACACAGTAAAAAGACATGTGCTATAGGTGAACAGAATAAGCTAAATTGGCCGTAGTGTATGTGTGAATGTAAGAGTGTTTCCGGGGGTTGGGTTGTGGATGGAAGGGCATCCACTGTGTAAAACATATGCTGGAAAAGTTGGCGGTTCATTCCGCTGTGGCGATCCCTAATTAATAAAGAAACTAAGCCAAAAAGAAAATGAATGAACATTTATACAAGAACTGGATGCTCATCAGATCACTCTGAACTTATTCTAGATAACATGTTCACTAAATTTTTGCACAAGCTTGTCGAGATCATCCTGAAGTACTGCCGTTATTAAGACAAAACAAGCAGATTTCCCCCTCATTTTCACATGCACTGATGAGGGCATGATTGTGATGAGTGGAAACTGATTTGAGAATAATCAAGACTACTTCAATCAGACTGTTTTGATTCATCTACTGTACATCTCCTAAGCTCTTCCTGCACAGTCCTGACCGAATAAACCCCCCAGCTGTGATGCAGCATCAGGTCGGAGAGATCCTGTGGGAGCCCATTTACACCACTGGACACCAGAGATGGAAGAGACTTGTGAAACCCACAGAAGTGCATAATTGGACTTTGCGAGGTCAAATAGTTTTGGATAACGAGAAATGTAGCAAGGAGAATACAGAGAAGTATGCTTTATCAAGTACAGGTATGCGATTATTGAGATCTCAACAAATGGAGGCAGCCATCAAAGGCATCCCAGGCCGTCTGAGCTCTGCTAATCGCAAAATTCCTCCCAAGTCAGTTGTAAAAAAATTGACACACATGACTTGGTGTGTGCTTACACAACACAAGCCAATGAATTCAATGCTCCTTATGTAACATTTCATTTACTGAATCGACAGGAAGAGCAAGTAGGGTGCAGGAATACCACCATACTAAGATTAAAGCTGCATTTCAATATCAAATATAAGAGTGGAGGATTCTGTATGTGTTTTCACTGACTATGAGAGGCAAAGATTTTCAGCATCAATGTTCTGTATATATCTTTATATATTCAAACAGTGGAAAAAAACATTAGAGGTCTTAATCCTATTTGAAGTTGGCAGAAGTAAAAGATCGGTGGTTTCTGAGCATTACTATACGAGTTGCATAGATTCCAAGAAGAAAGCCTAAAAGGAGTGAAAAAGCACACTGATCAAAATTAGGACACTTTCAGACATTAGAAAATTAAAAAAGACTGACCAAAAACAGGTCAAGATCACAGCAGAGCAGTGCGAGAGATGACACAGTACGTGTTTTGTGAAACTATGATGTCCTAGTGTTGTCCTCTGAGACAGTGGTTCCAAAATTGGGGGTCGCTTGGTGGTTTCTAAAAGTCGAATAAATTTGAATAAACCTATTAGAATGAGCATATTTTAACCACAAACCACAGAAGATAAAAATAGTAGTTTATAGTTACGTAAAAAAAAAAACAACGTCATGCAAACAAAAAGCCATCAGCCTTTCAATTATTTTTTCACAGGATCGGTGTGTTTACGTTAGATTAACAACACAGCAATAGCGTCAGCTGCAGGAGATTGATTTTATAGCGCCAGGTTTAATTTTCTGACACCTTTATATCAATCAAATACATTAAAATGAATACAGGCCAGAACTAACCATTGAGGATGATCTCTGAATGAGAGTCTCCAAATGTAAACCAATATTGTGTCCACCAGTGTTTTTAAATGAAGTTAATA